CTTCTTGTAGCCATTCTGAATAAAAATGAGAGGAAGAGAAAAAATCTGCTGTTAACTGAGAGATCAATCTCTCTTAAAATTTTTAATTTAAAGCCTATTTACCCTGCTGCTGTAATAGAGCCATGTCTGGGCTAGGTAGGCTGAGAGATGTGTCTGAAATTAAATACACTTGCAATTTGTTTTTAAAAAATGGCAAGTTTTCCTTTCTGCTGGTATTTCAGCAGGAATATTTGATAGGCAATGGTTGGACCCCTGTGCTGTAGCAACATGTGATAAAGGACAAATCAAAATTAATGAGTTGAAGATGTATAAATAGGGGCCTCATACCAAAAAACCCTTTATGCTCATGTCCAACACAGGCTAAATCAGTGTGTGACATCCAGATCAGACACCAAATCCTGAGAGGCCCCATGGCAATTCTCACCTTCATGCAGAACCAGACAGAAATGGGGAAGGTCAGTATGATGAACAGGAAAGAGAAGATGGTCAAAAGCCACTCACAGACACCCAGACCAGGAGACTTTACACCTAGGGAGAAACCCAACAACAGTGTGTTAGAATGGAACTGCTCCCAAAATACTGAAAGCCTGACAAGTGCCTGCACACATCAGCTTCACTGCTGTCCTCTGCCTGGACTCATTGTGAATGAACCACTTGGCTCTCTCTGGAGGTGAGTTAAGGAACACTCTCTGCTCCAGATTGCCAGGAGTAGCAAGGATGGATGGACAGACTTTGTCTCTGCTTTACTGACAAAAATTGAGCCATGCTTCTCCATGGTTGCAGACTTTATCTTGAAGCATTGGGGTTACAAAGCAAGGTTGAAGGGTTTGGAATGGGCAGCTCTGCTGAGCTGGCATCCCTAAAGTTTATCTGGAAATATGAGCTAAAGACAAAGATTGTAAATAAGAGAGAGCTTTAAACATGCACAGCCTGAGGTGCTCTTCTCTATCAGAGTATTTCAGGTTGTTTTGGAATAGGATTTTAGCTGCATCCCAGCTCCCAAACGCCTCTAGTGCCAGTAAAATCTTCCTGTGTTCTAAGAAGTCACCCCAAGATGCTGGAGGGTGACTGGCATGGTCAGCCCAGATTATTACTACTTTCTACATCTCCCCAAAGTGAGTGTGGGTCATCTTGCTCTGGCTGCCCTTTGTTGTGCTCCTGTCTGAGGGAAAAACTGACAGGTATGGCATGAAAACAGATGGAGCCAGAGAGTGGATCAGGATTTCCAGCTGTGAAGTTAGCACCCTTCCCGTTTTTAATCCCTTCCAACCCTTCCATCCCTGCTCCTCTGCCTTTCAAATATTTTATAGAACCACCAGGTCCTGAGGGAGCCTCAGATCCCAAGAACCTGTGTAGTCACTAGGGCTCCTAAGCACTGCCCAATAGCTGTAATCCCTGTAATGGAGGCAGAAAGATGAAGCTGTGAAAATCTTGTTCCCAGGGAGTCAGGAGCAAGTCTGAACCTTTGTGTCACTCTGGGGCAGCAGAGGTGCTAGCAGGGAAGGGCACAAGAGGTGCTGCCTCTTGTAATGGACATCTGCCATGCCTGTGGTGATGCTGGGTCCAAGCAGGCCCAGTTGTATTGCCAAAAGGATCACAATGCTCCCTTCTATTGTAGCAGGCTGGGAATGTGCCTAACAAACACGTGGACAGGAGCTGCTCTTAAAGGTTATCCAGCAGGTGAGGGGAAGTGTGCACCTCAAGGGCAGTTCTTCCCTGCAGCCAGGTCCTTTGGGCTATGAGCTGGCAGTAAGGCCAATGCCATCCACCCAAAGGAGGCCAAGCAAGAAAAGGAAGAGACCAGAGCATGAACAGAACTGGGGAGTAGCAAGCAGAAGCATGAAGGATGCTGGGAATGTCACTGCTTGTATCCAGGTTCACTACTTTGCTGGATGGTGCTAATAAGGCTGCAGAAGCTGGCTGGGAGGCTAGCTGGAGTCTCCCATGTCCTGTCCTGAGGATAACCACACCTGTGTAAGGTGGGTGTGATGATACCCACCAGAGCAGGGTCACACTGTGACCCACTCAGCACCAAAGATCCCACAGTTTTCTAACCCTTCCCTTCTTAAAGCCATACCTTCCTCTTGCTGCTCGCTATCCAGCAACGCCATTGCCTCCATTTCTTCCTCAGACACCACATCATCCACGTCCACCACGGTGGAGGTGTGCACCCTACCATCGCTCCCAGCAGTGCTCTTGGTCTCCTTGGCCTTCTCCTGCTTCACATCCCCCTTCCCTTTGCCAGCCTCTCTGCTGCTCTCCCTCTTCTCCCGTTTGCCCTGCGCAGCCGGGGACTCTCTGCGCCTTCTGTGGGGCTCCCTGGACGAGCTCCGGGACCTCTTCTCCATCCCCATCCCTGTGTGCTCCTCGGCAGGGATGGGGATGGAGGCCCACTCAAATTTATTGCTGCAGGCAGGGGAGGAGAGAAGGGGAGGTGCCACACTTGGAGCCTCATTGCACGCTCATCACAGGCTTGTCAGGCATAATGGACAGTGAAGTGAGCAAGCTGCTTCCAGCTGCTCTGCTCTCATCATGCACTGATGGCAAGGAAAGTTAGACCTGGACAGGGAGGACCCCAGGAGGATACTCTGTTTGCATCTGTGCTTTTGGAAATAAAATGCAATCAGAAGTATTCCAGTGATTTTTAGTAGATAGTTTCTGCAAAGCTGTTGAAAACAACCTAAAAGTAACTGTCAGGCACGTGGCCCCAAAGATATGAAAAGGTGAGAGTGGCCCAGAATAGACACCAGGGTGGAAAGCCTTTGCTGGTGAGGCCAGTGGCTTACTCAGGAGTGGCTGGAGAAGATGTTGTGGTGAATGTTTGGGTGAGTACCATCCCACACTGCTCTGCTCTCCAGAAGCCCTTTGGCTGGCACTGTGAGGGGACATTGGCAGCAATCTCCCTCTCTCTAGGGTCACATTTCAGCAAGGAGGGAAAGTAACTGGTCCCACCTTTCCTGAATGGGTGATTCCCAGCTTTCCTCATATTAATATGGGAGCCATCACAGAGTCAGAGCTGTTGGATTGTAAATTGCCAAAACTGTTTGTGCCTAAATGTCTCCCTAGCTTTCCACAGCAGAAACATGGCAGAGCAAACACAGGAGCTTTCTCTTTTCATGCTGCTCAGCCTGTGTTGACATCTGCAGAAATATGTGGAAGAAACACTAAAAAGTCACCAACTATTGGAGAAATCAGCACCTGGCTAGAAATTAGACTCTAGACAGAAAGACACACCTGGGACATAAAGCAGGCCAGGGCTGAGCTCAGGGATTCCAGTCCCTGCTGTGGAGGAGTGGCTGGGGGGAGCTGGAAGACAGCTGAGGAGGTGCTGATCTTGTTTTTCCACAGATTCCTGTTTTATTGGAGACTTGTGCTCCACCTGGAGTCAGGATATTGCAGGCAGGGAGGGCAGGAGCAGCAGCTGCCTGCTTTCTCTGCTGGGCTGGGTGCTGTGTCAGCAGGTCAGCAGGGAAGTGATGGATGGAAAGGGCTAAAGGCAGAGAAAAGTTGGGTGTAAATGGGGTGTAATTAATAATTTCATACAGTATATATTCTTTGGAAGTGCTTCAGAAACCCTTTTCCACTTTGTGTTTATCACCTGGCTAACATGGGGCTGGCAGAGGTGGTCTCTAGCTGCAGAAAAGGCAGGTGGTGTTTTAAGCAGCAACAACAAAAAGCAGCTCAGGTCTGGTTCTGGATTCCAGTTGGTGTCTTGTCAAAATCACCCTGGCATGTTGAACCTCCAAACCTGCAACATGATGGTTTTGTCTGATGTTTTATTCAACCAGTGGGTCCTGACTCCACCATGCCTGGCAGATGCTTTGTTGCTATCTTTTGAAATGAGATTTTTTTGAGAGCACATGATGATGAGTGTCCCAAAATTCACAGGTTCAGCTCCTGTTTTAGTCTGAAAAGTACTCCTGTGTGGAAATCAGCTGTGCAGTTGAGGGGGTTTCTCAGATTTCTGTGAGCCCTTAGGAAACAGCCATTGAACCCCTCTTTAACTACAGTCTGTAACCTCTGGAAAGTCAATGTCTCCTCTGTGGATTTTCCTCTCAGAAGGACTGAAAAAAAATACAAGACTCCTCTTAATAACTACATCTGGTTTAAAATATTGTTATGTTGAAGGAACTAGTCCTGTTCAGTGTGTGGCTCTTTCCTAACATGTTTTTGTGTCTCCACTGTGGATTTTCCTCTTAGATGAGACAAAAAAAAAAAAAAAACCAAAAAAGAAGATTCCTTACAAGACAAGACTCCTCTTAAAAAATACAAGACTCTTCTTAATAACAGTAGGACATGGAGGTTCTGGAGCAAGTCCAGAGAAGGACAATGGAGGTGGGGAAGGGTCTGGAGCACAAGTCTGATGAGGAGTAGCTGAGGGAGCTGTGGGGAGCTCAGTCTGCAGAAAAGGAGGCTCAGGGGAGACCTTACCACCCTCTACAACCACAATCACAGCAGGGTGTAGCCAGGTCAGGCCATCAGAGATAGGACAAGGGGACACAGTCTCCAGCTGCACCTGGAGAGGTTTGAGTTGAACTAGGGAGAAATTTCTTCACGGCAAGGAGTGGTTAGACATTGCAACAGGCTGCCCAGGGATGTGGGGACATCACCTGAAGGTGTTTAAGGAAAGACAGGACATAACACTCGGTGCTCTGGTCTGGCTGACGTCGTGGTGTTGGGTCGAACACGATCATCTCAGAGATCTTCTCCAATCGTTTGTTTGTTTGGGGGTTTTTTTGGGTTTTTTTTTTCGTTAGTTTTTTTTTTTTTTCTTTTTGAAGAAGACAGGAGCAACTTCCACCGGCCGAGGTGGGATAGGCTTTCCGAGGCAGCGGAAAGCCCATCCCACCTCAGCGCCGAGGGCGGTGCCGACCGCTCCCCCTCAGCGGCGCAGCAATGGCGGCCCCGGCCGGCGTGAGGGGGCGAGGAGCGGCCCCGCCCCGCCCTCGCGCCCCAAAGGCGGGAAAGGCGCCGCGCAGGCGCACGGGGAGGCTGCAGCGATGGCGCCGTGCGTGTGGGCACGGGGGTGGCTGCATGGGCTGAGGGGAGCGGGGATGTCTGTGGGGACAGAGACCCTGAGGGGCGAATCTCCGCGCTGGGGGTCACTGGGCTTCCTGCGAGGAGCACTGGCGGTGGGTGGGGTGTCCTCGGGCAGCAGTGTGGACGTGCAGGTGTCTGTGCTCGTAGAGGTTTAAGGGTGCATTAAACTCCAGGGGTGCTGGCAAGTGAGTTCAGGAGTTGTTCGTGAACCTGCTGCCAGCTTTCAGGGGCTAAGTGGGAAAAGGTAAAATTGCACGTGGTTACAAACAGCTGTGGTACAAGTTGTCATCTCGTGCTTGTGTTCCCCTTTAGTACGGAGGCGTCGAAGCAGCAGGCGCAGCTGATGGAGGTGCTGAAGAAGGAGGTGAGGGCCATGCTGATCGCTGCCAAGGCGGGCTTGACGCCGGAGCAGCTGGAGGAGCAGTACATGGCCATGGTCTGCAAACCTCTCCCTCTGCGCGACCTGGGCTTCCAGTCCACCCTGGAGCTGGTGACACAAATGCCTGAAGTTGTCCAGATCTGTTCTTCTAAGAATGGTGCTTTAATCCTCAAAGGTGAGCATTTGTTTCCAAATGGGTGGGGGAGTTGTTTGGAGCCTCATACTGGAATGAAGCGAGGTTCACATGTGCATATCTGTTCATCTGTTTCTCATACGACTCTGGTTAATTTTTTGTCTTTGCTATTTCTTCTTGCATTTTGATCTGTCTTTTAACACTTTGGTGCTCTTCCCTCCTAAAGAAGTCACCCATGCTTCTAGTTATTTTTGTACATTTTTTCACTCTGCACTTGGTTTAGAAACTGACATAACATTTCCTTATGTGTACACTGATAAGTATCAGTTTTTCCTGTAAATGCAAACTACAGCAGGAGCCAAAACCAGGGATGGGGCCTTTTGAGAGAAGCTGTGAAGGTCTCTGTACCTGACCCCATAGGAAGCTTAGCTTGTATCAAAGAACCTTTTTCATTTTCTTTTTCTTTGGAGAAAAGTTGTGACAACAAGTGGCAGTTGCCAAGAGATGATTGGGAAGGGTGAAATGGTTGGGGGCTTTTTGAGTGCTACAGTAACACAAGAAAAAGTTGTTTAGAAGCTTGGAAAAGACCTGGGCTGTTCTCCAGGGAGACCTTTGGGCAGGGGGTGCTCTGTAGAGAGAGTTTACTGTGATTCTGCTTTCCCAGCAAAACTCTCAGCAGCTTGGTTTTTGTTTGTGATCCTGCATCCAAGAATTTGACCTGCCTTCCTGCCTGGTCTGAATTTCTAGGGATGAGGGTGCAAACTGGTTGCTGGCTTTTAAAAATAGTTCAGTCCAGTCTGCAAAGGGCAAGGCTGCTGGAAATCAGCCATGGTTTAGTGTGATTGCTTTTGAAGGAGTCAGGTGCTTCTGGAAGGGATGTGGAGAGGAGGAAAGAAAGGATGGAGAGGAGCTTTTCCAGTGTAGAGCTTTTAACAGTTCATTGTTCTGGTTGTCTGTTTATTTCTTTCTGTCGCAGCCATTGCAGATGACTCCACCAAAGGGATTGCCAGGCTGGTTGCCAACCAGAAAGTAAAGACACGCAAGACATCAAAGAAAACCGCCACAAAGGCAAATTCTACTTTTCCCACTAAGTACTCTAAAAATCCACAGAGTTTCCATACCCTGAGTGCTGGGACTCCTGTCCTGCCAGCAATGGTGAAGGCTGAGCTGCAGGACCTGCTGAGCTCCTCACCACTCCTGCTGGCAGACTTTGACAAGGCTTTCCTCCGACGCTTTGGCCGGGCGTTCCAGTACAGGCAGTACGGATTTCTGTCCGTGTCTGAAGTCCTGAGGAGCATGTCTGATTCCATTGCTGTTGAGCAAACAAAGGCAGGTTCCTTGCTGGTCCTGAGGAAGTACTTGGCAAGCAAGATAGAGCAGCAAGTGGTGCCTCAAAGTGAGGCTGAGGAAGAGGAGATGCCTCAGAGTGAAGCTGAGGAGGAAAAGGGGCCTCAAGGTGAGGCTCAGGAAGAGGAGATGCTACAAGGTGAGGTGATGTGTTTAAATGAAAGCCCCCAGCTCTTCCAAGCTCTGTGGCCAAGCAACTGCCTTTCAAGTTTCTGTTGCTGCATTTGCAGTTGCTGCAGAAGTCCTGATTCCCCTGGGCTTTGGCACAGAAGGGCTGTTGAGTGCTGCAGAAGCAGCTGTCACAAGGCAGTTGTCTTGGTAGCAGAGAATTTCCAGGAAGGTTTTTGGCACTGTTTTGTGGTGTGGGGTGAAAGGAGGGCTGATTAACCCATTCAGAGTATGGACTTGCTGAATGTGTGTGTAGGAATTTCTAGTCATTCCAGGTGGTAGGTGAAAAAGGATCTTCTCAATGTCTGCTCTGCAGGCTGGTAAAGCTTTTGCCATACACTTTTTGAGACTGAAGGTTTAGCACTGGCCTGAAAGAGACAGGACTGCAGATGCCCTCATCATTCCCATAAAGCCTATGGGAGAGGGTGGATAATCACATACAGTTCCTCCCAAATTCACAGCTTTTGAAGGGAAAATATATTTTAACATTACTCTAGCAATGGATTTTAACCTTCAGCTTGCTTACAAGAGGATTCTGAAGGATTCTTGTTCTGTTTTAACTTGCTGACCCAGTGAATCCCCATTAGTGTGGTGGTTGTGAATGCTACAAGTAGTGAGGAAAACAACACTAATGCTTTCAGACTTCCATTTTTTTATGTTTTCCCTTTCTGCTTAATCTGCAACACTGTATCAGTCCAACAAAGAATAACACCAAATTATTGTCTTTGCAGCAGCATCTGCAGCTGAGGTGCCTTCTTTGGAGCCCACCTGTGAGACAAAGAGCTGCTACCAGGCAGCAGCTCTGATGGATTCAGAGCCAGTGCAAACACCAGCAGTAGATTTGGGTGATCACCTCAAACAGGTAAGTGGCTGGACAAATGATCTGTAGATTTTTCATGTCAGTTTCCAGGGGTGATTCTCTTTTTACTCTCTTTGTTTCTGTTGAGTTTGCATTGTTGAGGCACGGCTGCTTCCAGACATTTGTTTTAGATGTCTCTGGAGGCAAGCAGACTCATAGTGACCTGGTGGATGGCTTTATGTGCCATCCAGAGTCAGTCTTTTTCTGGTGTTCTGCTGATCTTGAGGTCTATCAGATCATCCAGGCCAGTTAAGTGTTATCTTGCTGGCTTACAAGAGTGGTGATACCTTTTGATGTAGTTACTTGTAACTGGACTTTGATAACTTTGTTGTGAGACCAGTTGTGTGAGATTTCCCCTGCTGCAGTTGACAGGGCTTCAGTGCCAGCCGGTTTGACAGAGCTGGGGAATGTTCCTCAGTGACTTTGATTCCTCAGTCTCAAGTCTGCTATTTGGTAGGAAATGATCATTATTTTGTTTTGTTTAGCAGTGTGGTTTTAGAAGGGGCTGGAGAATAGCAGTGCAGAGGCTTTGAACTGCCAAATCTTTTTGGCAGTTTGTTTGTCCCTCCTTTATTTTTTTTGTTTTGAGCATCTTTAGGGCTTCTTTTTCTCAGGAAAATCCTCCTGCTTAGAGTTGTTTCCTCTGCCAAGCTTGTCTTGTGGCTATACCCAGCTGTACAGCTGGAGCTTAGAGGTAGGGAAATAATCCCAAGGGTTCTTCCTGACTTTGGTGTTTTGTGTTCTAATGAGCTTGGCAGCCTGGAGCTAGGAGTTGGACTTTGTGGAGCACTTGAGAGATTTTTGGCAGCCTGTTCTGATCCTTTAAAGAGATTTTAGTTAGGTGTGATGATCCACAGGGAATTTCCCTGGGTCAAACCCCAGTCTGATTGTGTGAAGGCAGTGAAAGAGGGGATATGGTCTAGGTAGCCCAGATATTTGTTCCTAGGTATTGCAGACCATTTAAAGATCCTGTCAAGACAAGATTTGCAAGATGTTTGTACAACTCCTGTTTGTCATGAAGCACCAGGTGTGCTGTTTTGTTTTTAAAAAGCTCTCAAGAGGAGGAAAACAGTTTAGAATGTGTTTGCTTGGGTGTGCAGTGGACATTTGTTCATCAGGATGCTGCAAGGTAGAGGGGAGAGATGCAACCTGATCCCTGCCCTGCTGCCAGGTATTCTGGAAGTGTTTTCAGGGTCAGATGGGGCACAAGGGCTGAGTCCATCTGCTCAGCTCCAAGAAGGATAAAGGAGACAGAGCTGCTGCTCTCAGGAGCTTTTTCTTGCTGCCATGACAGAAGGGGAAGTGTCACCCACACCCCTCTTGGCAGCTGCCAGTCCAGCTTGGAGCAAGGAGTCAGCCCCTCTTGCAAGTCACAGTTCTTACAAAGCCTGATTTTACACTGTGTACACTTGTTTATCTCTTTATAGCTTTGTTGCATTTTGTGAGCTTCTTTTCAAGTGCACATCCCCTAAGTCTTTCAAAGAAATGTCTGTTGTCACTAACAATATGTGAGCTAGCATATAAAGCTCATGTGTGTCCTTAACAGCCTGACCTGAAGAGCTTTATCAGAGCAAAATTGTCCCTTAGAAATGCCACCATTCACAGGGACTGCACAGAGGAAATCTGTGAAATTTGTAAGGAGAAATTTGTGAAATTTGTAAGGGGTTTTTAGAGGTGATGCTGCTGCTCAGGCCAGAATTCCCTCAGTTGCCCCTAGACTCAAAAATGTTAACTCACTGTTTAACTCAAAGGTTTTAGTCAAAATTTCTAGCTCCAAAAAAGTTGAGGGCTTTACTCAGTCTGCAGAAGGAGACACCAGGGAAGTGGTCACAGCACCAAGCCAGAATTCAAGAAACATGTGGAAAATCCTCTCAGGCACGTGGTAGGATTCTTGGGGTGGTGCATTGCAGCTCTAGGAGCTGGACTTTGATCCTTGTGGGTGCCTTCTAACTCAGAATATTCTATGATTCTGTGATCTGCACCTTTACAAAGTGATTAAGAGAGCCACTATTGCAAAACCCCATTGTTTGCAGCTGAATTCAGAAACAAGCAACAGGGAGTGTGCTGGAATATGAATTGCCCACACCTTGCCTGATGTTTGATGCAGTGATAATTTGTACTGTGCTCACAATAAGTAAAATTGAAGTGGTTTTGACTTTAGTCATTGGAGAAGGGCTGTCTGCTGGCACAAAGGAAAGCTCTTGAGGCAGTGAAAGTAGCTGATGTTGGACTAAGGCTCCCATCCATACTACTTCAAGTGAAATAATGTTTTCAGCAGTTAGAATAATGAAAAATTGAAAGCTGTTTGAAGAGCTCACTTGTACAAATTTGCCTACAGTGAGAAAAGAACAGAAATTGTCAATTTTGACTGATTTTGTCTTTGGGAAGTAGCTCTAGTGTGAAAGTGGGATGTATTCATGTCTTCTGTCACTTCAGAATAATTTTCAGATAGTTTTGCTGGTTCAATCATGTACTTTTTCATGGTCATGGAATATAGAAATAATACCTTTTCAATAAAATCCAGCAAAGAGGTGGGTTGGGTTTGGGGTTTGATTTTATTTTGCTTTTCAGGCAAAAAAATGCTTTTGTCTAAATATGTGACCTGACTTCAATTCCTCTTCTTTATTCCGTGCAGGAGTATGAGCAAGGTATTTTTGTTGCACCCCTCTTAACACTGGAGGGAAGAAAGAAAGAGAGTGTGAAAATGATTGTTTCTATCACAGGGAAAGTTTCCATCCAAGTTTGCCCAGTTTGTTGTGATCTTCTGATACTCAGTAATTCACAAGTCCTCAGGAAAGCAGAACTATTTTTTAAATTAATGAAAAGGCCAATTCTGTGTGTTCAGTGCATGATGAGACATCTGAGTGCCACCTCCCCCTTATCCCCTTGTAGCATCAAGGTCTTGAGCAGTTTCCAGCGACCCCAGAAATCCCTCCAGATGCTGTTCAGGACAGAAGCCTGTGCAGTTTGCCTCCTCTGAAGAGCAGGTGCTTGGTGGGAGTCATTGTGGAGTTCGTCGTCTCCCCCAGCCAGTTCTACATCCACGTCTGCAGCACAGAAGCATCCTATAAACTGCAGGATCTGATGTTTGAGATGAGGTGGGAGCATGCTGTGGCAGTGTTTGTGCTGAGGGAGCAGGGCAGCCAGCATTGGTGATGGTCTCTGCTGGCTTCCTGACTTGCTACAGAGATGCTGTCCTGAAACACTGCTCAAAATGTGCATCCTTTTAACTAGCAAGCAATAAGTGTGGTCACCAGCAGTTGCTGTGGTTTGTCTGTGTCCTGGCAGTTCTGAGCTTTGTAAGCCTGGAAGGGTTCTGGAAAGGAGCTTGGAGGGTTCCTGCCTTGTCTGTGCAGCTGTTGCTAATGTGCTCAGTTAAGGCTTTCACTTCCACCTCCAACACTGCACCTGGGCCAGTACTGCAGAACCTGGTTCATGAGAAATGCTGATGTGTCAAGGTAATGGGAAAAAAGTAATGATTAGGATGTCTGTGCTTAGCCTCTGATTAATCCCCATTAACTAACTTTTTGTTGGACCCCAAGAGTATTGTTCAAATGTTAAAAGTTTGGGGTTGCAATTTAATTCCCATTTCAGTTTAAGTGTGGCAGAACAGAGATATAAAGGGTCTATTAAAAGAAATTTTGAAAATTCATGTCATGGGGACTTTTTAAAGTCAGAATTCTTTTGGTCCTTGTGCATCTCCTGCGTCCTCCTAAGGCTGGTTTCCCACTGTGATCTTTTACAGACATGTTTACTCACACAAAGTTGCTTCTGATAAATACATCATGCCTGAGTCTGCAGTGAGGCCTGGGCAGCTGTGCTGTGTCATGGTCTCCAAGTGGTGGTACCGTGTCATCATCCACCGTGTGATCAATGACCAGGAGGTGGAGGTGTTCTATGCAGACTATGGACACCTCCAGATTGTCCAGAAGTCTTGGCTGAGATTCCTCAAGTAAGTGAATTACCCATGGGCAGCAGAATCACAGAACAGCTGGATTGGATTGGATTAGGTTGGATTAGGTTTCTGGAGGTCGTCTTGTCCAAGCTCCCTGCTGCAGAGGGGCTGTCTAGAACAGGCTGCCCAGGACCATGCTGAGATGGTTTTTGAATATTTTCCATATTTGTGTCTTCCCCCTCATTTGCCTCTCTTCATGCCTGGCTGTTGGCATTATTTAGGTCAAAATTAATGGTTCTCTGTTTGTAACTTTTTCTCCACAAGGGGTTTTGATGGGAATGTGCTTGGGCCAGGGAATGAATAAGGGACCAGTTGTTATTGCTGCTTTTGCTGTGCCCATTCTCTGGGTATGGAGTGTATTCTGAAGTTGCTTTGGCATTCCTAAACTGGTAGTAAAACCCAGAAGGGGAGGAAGTTCTGCTCTTCTGCTGATTGATCCCTGCTTTTGCTGTAATGGTTTTGCTTTGTATTTTAGGTGGCACTACTTGAAGCTCCCTGCTCAGGCCATCCCTTGTTCCTTGGCATGGGTAAAACCTGTGGAGGTAGGTGTCCATGTGCAGTTTTGTTTCTTGACATCTGTGGAGGAGTTATCAACTAGAGGTTGTCTTTTTCTCCTTCATTTGGATGAAGTCAGGTCCTGTTGATATTTGCAGCAGAATTAGTGCTGTGACATTCAGCAGAGTGTGCTGGGTGTCTGCTCTACAAGCAATCACCCTTTCAGTGCTTTCCTTGCCATCAGAGCATTCCTGCTTATATTCCTGCAGAAACAGATGGCTACGGTGAAGCAGCACAGCAAACATTTTCCTCTCCCTGCCAGTAGTTCCCCAAGGTCCTTCTGAAGCCTTGGTAGCTCCAACCCTCTGTTTTAAAAACTTATTCTGTAAGAGAGCTTTAAGTGAGTTGGTTAGATGCACAGCCAGAGTTACAGAGGTCATAAGAAAGTTTCTCTGTGATGGGAAACTTCTTGGTCAGGAAGCCTGAGAAGTACAATCTCTGAAGAAAAGCATGTGAGCAGAGTTGCTGCCTGTGTGTGTTTTTAAGGATGTTGCTTTTAAAAAGGTATTTCCCCGGGGTTTTGAGGGTTAATCACAGTTTTCCTTGTGGTGAGGCTTAGCGGCACTGTACTGACTTTTAATACTTTGAATGTTTGTAAATGTTGTGATTTTAATGTTGTGATTCCAGGAATTAGAAAAGAAAACCCAACAAACAACTGTATTTTAGGCAATTGGGATAAAATCACTGGTGAATGCCATCCATGGAGCTGTGTTTGGAAGTAGGTATTTAGGGTGAAAGGGCATTCCCAGGGTAATGAGAATTGCAGGCTTTGGATAGTTTGGTTTAGTTTCATGCTGGGAAGATTGTCTGCCTGACTTTGCTGTATTTGTCACTAGCCTGGCCTAGCTCAGCTGGCTTTTGACAAGTGCCCACCACAAGGAGAAGTCTCAAGTGGTGGATTTTGGTCTGTTTATGGTAACTTTACACTGTTTCCTCTTCAGGGTACATGGTCCAGTGCAGCAATTCTCCTGTTCAAACACCTCTGTCGCTTCAAGGAGCTCGTGGGCGTGGTGGATGAATACGTGGATGGTGTTCTGTACCTCTTCCTGTGTGACACATCCACCAAGGAGGATGTCTACTTCCACTCTGTCCTCAGGGATATGGGATATGCTGATGTCTGTGGGGAGAACATCCCTTCCCAGGTGAGGAGGGAGGAGAGTGCTGCTGAAAGGAAGGGGAAGGGAGGGATCCCTGCTTGGCTGCCTGGGAAGATTCTTAATGAGAAGATTCTTGCCTTGAAGCAAGTGGTTTTGTGAAGAGCAAAACTGGTATTCCCTGCTTTCCTGTAGCTTTCCATTGTGTGACTGCATCCCAGAGTGTCCAACTCTATGTGGAGAGCTTGCTTTTTGGTTAGGGTGGGGTCCGATGGTACAGCAGAGATGTTCTGTTTAGTAGAACAAACTGTTTTCAGCCCGTCTTCTAGCAATGGATTAAAAGCTGATCTGGAAATGGTTTTGGTTTACAAACTGTCATATTTTGCCAGTGAAATTTACAGTGCTGGATGGCATAACCATGGTAATTGCCTGTTGTCACAGCTGTTGTAAGCCAGATCATTTGTGCTTTAGGCTTACCTGTGGCATTGTTTGCATGTCTCAGCTCACTTCCAGTAAGAACTGTGTGGATTGTGCAAACCCTTGGAAAGGAACTGCCATGATTTTCTATTTCAGCAGAAAGCTGAATATTACAGCCTGGAGTGAATCTGTTTTATTCAGCAGATGCAGAATGCATGTTCTGGCAGGATTAGATCCTGTGATGGTATTTTTGCATGTGTAGGCCAAATTTTGGGGGAGAAGGGCATTGCTGAGAAATTTTGCTGCGGGCAAAAGAGGAGTTGATTTTCTTAATAAAGCCATTTCTGCAAGAATCTGGAGCTAACTTTTGGGTGTTGTGCACTTTCACCCATTTCTGACCTGTTAGAGATTTGCTGCATCCTTTTATTCTCTATGGTAATTACAATGTAGAGTTTTTTACTGTTCTGGTGTGGTTTTTGTTTGTTCTAGGAGTTTGAGGAACTGAATCCTTCAGCCTTGTATGTTCAGCCCAGTGGAAAGCAGGGGAATGCTGAGGTGGTGGAGCCAGACCTTCGCTTGCAGCAGCAATCTCGAGATGCAGACAGTGAAACAGAAACCTTGAAGCTGAATGGGGCTGAGCTGTGACCAGGTGAGAGCTTGGCACAGCTGTCATTCCATGAAATCAGCTCCAGGGCTCTGCAGATGGGTCTTGTTTTAGTCCCATGGAAGTTTTCTGTGATTTTCTGCTTTTATATAAAGCAAGCAGAAAGATAATATGAGAACTGTTGTCTATGTGGACCATAAATACCTTTGGCCTTTCTAGCTGCCTGTCCTCTGATCCCTTTGCTGACTTCAGGAGTCTGTGTGCTCTCTCTAACCTCCCCTATGTGCACCATAATTTTTCAGTTTGAGAACTCAGAGCAGTGCCAGGTTCTTGTGATGAGTTTGGCTTGGCACTTCTGTGGTTTTGCATCCTGGGAGGCAGGGGGTGTTTTCCTCTCATATCTCTGGGGTTTGGCAAAGGATGTGTAATAATTCAGGGTAGTAGTCTGTAAATGCAGGGAAAGTCCACAAGTGCCAGTGGTGAATATTTGCAGTAAAGGGTCTGCTCATCCTAAGCTGACCTGAAAGGAAGGGATTTGCAGTCCTGGTTGTTGCTGGGGATAAGGTTCTGTAGAACCACAGGTTTGTCAACAAAATAACTCTAAAGGTGAATGTAAAGCATAAGTGTGTGCTTTACACCTGGGGTTTCAGAGCAAGCTCAAAGGGAAGCCCTTGGCTATTTATCAGTTTGATCAGCTGCTGAACAGAGCTTGAGCAGGGAGTAAACCCCAGGTCTTGAGTGCAGTCTAGGGTAGTACCATTAGAAACACCAGGAGCACTTGTCTACAGGTGATCTCTCCCCTTTTCTGTTATTTAAACTGTAGTATTTTCATGACACATTTTACTACAGGGAGCAAAACACCTGTCAAGCCAATGTCAAGCCAATGTTGAAGTGTTCAGCAGTGGGGCTGCTCTGGGGCTGTTTCTGACACTGCTCTGAAAGAACAGTAAAAGCAAGTCTAATGCTAGTAACTTGTAAAGTACCCATTTTCTCTATTTTTTTTTTCTAGTTTTTTTTAGGTTTTTGTGCTAGAGAAACTCTGTGTAAACTGTGTGTCTTGGATATTCATGTCCTTACTCTGTCAGTTTATCAAATGAGCTGAAAGACACAAAGCATCCAGTTATTGTGTGTGTTTGGAAGAAGGTAATGTGGGGAAGACTGCAAATCTTGAGTTTGTGTTTCAGATGCAGGAATCTGGAGAGTTCCTTGCCTAGCTGCCTAAAGCAAGATCCATAAATGTCAGACACAGGTGGTGATTTGGAGACTAGAGGAATGTAAATGCATCCTGTCCCTCAGTGGGAATGGTGTGGGTGGCAAGAAGAGATAAAAATCATCTTGTAGCCTTGTCCCAACACTGATATTTTTTCCTGCATGCTAAGCAGAGGTTTTCAGTGGGCTGCTGGTATCCAGCTGAGTAGTTGGCTAATTGGGCTCTAGTGATGCCTGTCTTGGCATGCTGTCAGCACTGAATTCCTGCTGCCCAGCCATCCTTGCTGCTGCAGGAGTGCCTCACAGTCCCCTTGTGCCCTGACAGCTGAAGCAGCCTAGACAGCAAGTACCCAGGTTTTGAGCAGCTGTGCTTGAATTGCTGCTTGTCTCTCATTTCACTAGTTTTCTCCTCCATACTGAGCTGAAAAATACAAACATCAGCTCCCATCTGTGGCTGAGACATGAGTGAGCAGCCCTGAAATGTAAATTTAATTTGAATTCTTAAGCAAAAATGCAGAGGGGCTTCCTCTGACTCAGCTCCTGCCTCCTTGCAGGAACTCCCTCTGTCATTGCCATCACTGGTTGTGCGTGGGGCTGCTGAGAGATGAGACAGCTGTTAATTCTTTGCTGAGATAGAATGCCTTGTGTCTTGGAATAATCTGTGGCTCCTTCCAGCTTGCTGTGGAAGAAAAGCTGCCCTTTGGCCAGGGGGACTGGGGGATTATTGTTGTGTAGTCTTGTTGTTCTGGTTTTTTAATTATCCATTTGCTGACCTTCCACTTCTTTGTAAATTTTGAGGGATAGTTAAGATCAGGGCAGCTAATGAGCTGAGTGTGCACTAATTGCACCCTCTCAATTTTTTTTTTTACATACATTTGCAGACACCTCATTCTCTTGGAGAGTCCTCAGTGTCTGCTGTCTTAGTCAAGTCAGTGAAAAACCTTTACACCTCCTTTATTTACTCCAGGCAACCAGCAGAAATGAGACAAAATGACCCAGATCAGATAAAAAGTTTTTCCAGCAGGGCCCAACTTTATGAACTGTCCATCCCACTGTTGGACCATTCATGCTGTGCCCCCTTGACACTATGAACAGATTCATCAGTCAAAATGGGCTGGCAGAAAGTTGAGCAGTCTGTTACTGTGCTGTGAGTTTTGCAGCCCCTCTTGGGTATCCTGAGGCTGGTGCTGCTGGAGCAGATGGAAATGTTGGTGTTTCTGTGGGCTGGAGATGCCACAATAATAAACAGCTGGATGCAATGTATCAGGTTGACCTTTGTGCAGCAAAATGGATTTCTGGTTGTTTAATGGGAACAAAATGAATTGAGGGTTAGTTCTCTTATTATTGGGTTTTGTTCTCTTTTCTGGGCTTTCTGCTGCTTGCATGCAGAAGTATTTGTTTCTCTACTCCAGTGTTCATTTCATACTGAATCTCCAGTCTCAACCATAGCATTTTGTAAACCCTGTGAGTTCCCTGTGTGGGTGCTTGTCTTCCATCTTCCAAATGATGGAAGAATTTACACCACCCATACAAGAGTTGCTCAGGTGAATTAAGTGCCTTGCCAAAGGCAGTTGCTGTTTATGCCTTGGAACTTTCTCTCTAGAGTTCCCTAGACAAAGCCTGCTGAATTCACATCTGATTTCCCACCTCTGGGGAAGTGGAGGTGCAGCAGCAGGAGGAGAGGGGTCCTCACATTTGTACCATGTCAGACTCATCAAACAGGTGTGCAGTAGCAAATCTTCTTCCCATGACCTTGTGAGGTCCAGGCAGAAGGGACTTCAGTCTACACTGGAGCTCTTGGATTTGCTTGTGTAGCTTTGATCTTTCTTTTCTGTGTTCCTTTATGCAGATGAAGCAAACATGAAGACCAACACCTTCCCAGGAGCCTCATGGTTGGCCTCTGCCATGCTCTGGGCTCTGTGACCAGGGGCCACCTCAGGAACTGTGTGTCCCTCCTGCCCTGCTCTCTGCAGTGTTGGCAGCTGCATGATTGGCCAGTTCCCTGCTTCAGTGGCTGCCCAGCCTGAGAAGGAAGGTGTGATAGGAGGGGACAAGCTGGAGCTGCTGCCAAGGAAGGCTGTCTGGAGCACCACAGGCTCTCTGTATGACCCTGCTGTCAGGGTTTGTTTTGTTTTTTGGTTTTTTTTTTTTTTGTTCAGAAACGTTTAATCCCTTGAAAAAACCTGGATTGAGATATCTCAGGTGTGCCCAGCATGTGTGATAAATGTTAGTTTTGCTTTCAGGTAAAAGTTTTTGTTGTACCAGTCGTGTACAGAGTTACTGCTCTTTAATATAATGGTTCAGGAGAACATCCAAGTGTCACATTGTGTTATGTATCCTTTAAGTTTAAGAGAGGGAAATTGGCTGCCCATCCCTCCTTCCTTCAGTGCATGAGCTGTTTTGACATTGTGTGGGGATGTGATTTTGGTTTTTAATACAGTGGCTGCTCTGCACACTCCTTGCTGTGAGGAGAGCTGAAGAAACCTCCTTCCCCAAGAAGAAGATGCTGTGATTTGTTGGATGTCATGTGTACAAAGTGTCAGGAATCTCATCTTAAAGAAATTGAATAAAATCTGTGAGGAATGCAGTGAGAGAGAGCCTGAAGCTTGACCATGTTTGTGTAGCCCCTTGCCTGTGGCAAATGATCCTAAAGGGTGTTAATGCAGAGAAAAGCTGGGCAAACAGAAGTGCCCTGGTTAGGAATGCTGGCATCCAGCTGCTTTTCTGCTACCTGGAGTGTTCCTCACATCTTCAGGGCTTCAGGGGCCACCTGAACCATGCCAGGGATATCTTCCTCTGCAAACCACCAAGAAAAGCTGAGTTATACTAGCAGCAATACTGGAATGAGTAAAAGCCCAGCATAAGACATTTGTGGATTGGACTAGTTGATCTTTAAAGCTCTCTTCCAACCCAAACCATTGTATTATTATTCCACTTTTTTTTTTTTCCCTCCAGCATTTAAGGGTGGTTTGGGATGTGAAACAGCTAAAAACCAAAAATCTGTGGCTGGTCAGAAAGCAGCTGCTGGGAAAGCTAATGAAGGAGATGGAAGGAGAATGCTGAGGAGCAAGGGCTGTCCAACCCTGTGGGGAGCTTCAGAGTTTTCCTCACTTCTCTGCTGCCACATTTGGGTTGGGGCACTCACTGCACGTTTTTGTCATTCATCACTGGGCTTGCTCAGAGCTCACCCTGTGCTGCAGAGCCCCCTTTTGGTTTCAGGGATCTGACACCTGGGGCCATGGTGGGGTGTCCTGAGAAGATTCCCAGATCCTCTTTTCACTCAGTGCCAAGTGCCTCCTGCAAACTGACATCAGCAAACTGGGGTGTGGTGAGTTTTGTGTCCCATGGAAAAGGGCTGGGGTTTGTGACCAGGGGCCCGTGGCCCTGAGTGGGCTGTCATCTCCTAAAATTCCAGATGGTGCAGGATTGTCCCAAACCCCAACCTGCCACCTCCCTGGGCTGCAGCAGGAGCCTGATCTCAGCAGAGCAGTCAGTGTGTCCCTGCTGCTGCTGGGTCACTGCTAGGTGGCAGCCGAGGCCAGTGCTCAGAGCTCAGCTCCCTGCAGCCTCAAACTCCTCCGGGGGCCTGGGAGGGTGAGGGAGGTGAGGAGCTGAAGAACATCCTGCTCAGTGGGCAGGTCCCTGTGCCCCTCAGGAGCTGCCTCTGTCCCACTCCCTGCCTTTATCCCACTCCCTGCCTCTGTCCCACTCCCTGCCCCCAGGCTGCCTGGGCACACAATTGGGAGCTTTGGGGGTGGGTCCCCAAAGTGCTGTCCCAGGAAATTGAGAATGGGGAGATGCCATGGGGGCTGGAAGGTGCTGTGTGGGTACTGGGAGCTTACCTGTGTGCAGAAAGGTGGCAGCAAATTTGTGGGAGGGAGAGCCAGCAAGTGTCAAACAGTATCCCTGTGCTCTGGGAACTCCCAAACCCAGTTTGAGTACGGAAGGAGCATACTCTGGGCACATCACACTTTTTTCACCCTGAGTACCTGCTGAAGGTGGGCTATAGGGCTTTGCTGCTATTCCATGTACCTTTCCTCATGCTGATCAGGATTTCTTTTTTCTTTGAGGCTTTGCCACTCACATGTTGTCTGCTAGGGCTTGGTTAGTTTTCCATGCACTTTCAATCAAGATAAAAGGTGAAGATCTGAACCTTAACCCTGAGCCTGGACCCCCCCCCCCCCCCCCAGCACCTGAGGGACAGAAAACCCACCTGGAGCTGCTCCCGTGCTCTGGGTGCTCTGAGCTGCTTTTCCCAGCTGTGCGCTGGCATCTCCCTTCCCAGAGCAGTTCAGCTCACATTCCTCATGCCCAGCAGGTCCCTGTTTGTACATTTGTTGCCTAAGGCAGTGGAAAAAAGAACAAAGATACCTCAGGGACTGGAAAGTGATGCTGCATTCATATCCTTGCTCTTGGGCACTGCTGTGTGCCAGTGCCAGGTGGTGGGGAAGGAGGGGTGGCTGTGCCAGGAACTAGGATAAACCTTCTGGACAATTTTTGGGGAACCCACACCCACAGAGGTGTCTGATGGAAGAATGAGGGTGCTCTTCCTTCCTCCTCCTTGTGGAGTGGCATCTCCATGGGGCACGGGGGAGCCTGGTGTGGATGTCCCTCATCCCATGGTGTGCATGTAAAGGGGTCCTGCCCCTCCAAAGTAGCTTGGGATGGAGCTTCTTTCCCCTCCTTTGCCCCTGCTTTCCCCCTTCCCCACAGCTGTGCTGCCAGCAGAGGTGATCAACTCCGAGTCCCTGGGGGGAGGACCAAAATGTTTAGAGGAAATTAAAAATTGAAAGGCAACGCAGCTCTGCAGCTCTCCCTAAAAGCTGGGGTTAAGCCAGCACGATGTGTGCTCCGGGGATTTGCTAATGGACTCGGGGACGGGAGGCTCGGGGTCAGCCCTGGCAGGTGGAGGGAGCTGTGGGGCCGGTGGCGCTGGTGGGAAGAGGGGCTGGAAACGTGGTATTCCTGTGCCTGGGGCCACGCATGTGACAGCACAGCCACACCTGGGCCACCTCAAGAGTGACCCAGGTACCCCTGGTGGGTCTGGGGAGGGTGAGCAGCGGTGCTCCAGGCAGGGATTTTGTTTTTGGGGAGGTGTTTATGGAAGAGTTTCTCCCGGCTGCCTGGCCGCAGTGGTAATCGGGTACTTTGAGTTTTAAACGGGATGTCAGGAAGGGTTTGCCTGGCGAGGAGGATGGGAAGTGACAGCTCGCTTTGGGTGAGCAATGAGCGGCAGAGGCGGCCAAACACCTCCGTCCCTCCCTGCATCCCTCCATCCCTCCTTCCTTCCCTCCTTCCCTCCCTCCGTCCCTCCCTCCCGGCGCTGCAGTCGGGCAGGAGCGGAGCTCGGGTTCCCCTCCGGGCACACGGGTGGTCCCAGGCTGGCCCTGGTGTGGCTGTGCCATCTCAGCGAGGGTGGCATTTTCCAAACCGATGCCTCACCCCACCCCTCTGCACTTCTGAGTCAAGCCATGCTTTGCAACGTGGGGTTCAGTCGAGAAAATCATCTGGGCTTGAAAGCCAAAATTGAGTGCTTCTGACCCTAAAAACATTTGTGGTTTTATTTTTAGATTTTTTTTTTTTAGATGGAAATTGAATCTTTTCCTTGTTTGGGAAGGATAAAAATGCATTCAACCCTGCATCAGATTGTTTCACTTGACCCACGAGTAAATGCTTTTCTTTCCTCTGACCTGGAAGGCTTTCTTTTTCTTTCCATTTGGCAAGAAAAAGGGAAAAGCCAAATCTTGGTACAGGTCACTGCAAAATAAGGTTTGGAGCTGGAGCTTTTCAGCCTGAGCGCTGTGCCAAGACCCATCAGCTCTTCCCACCAGTCCCTGGAGTGGCTCCCTTTTTCTTGCAGTAAAAAGCCCTGGTTTTGCCTTGCATTTTGCTGGGATAAAATGACTGCCAGGCAGGAGAGCAGCTTCTGGCTGCTGGGTTTTGGATGAGCAGAGATGGGGACAGTGCTTGTGCCTTGCTGGCCTTTTGGAGGACATCCCTGGGATGGCTCATGCAAGCTGGCCACCACTGCATCTCTGCAAAGGCCCCTTTGGGTGGCTTTGGGGGAAATGCCAAGATATTCCTGGGGCAGGAAGGAAACACGGGGCAGCAGTTCTGCTGGAGCATCCCTCGGTGGGAAATGGGTCAGTGCTGCCTTTTGGTTGGACCAGGGCTGTGCTCTGGGGTTTGGTGTTTGCTGCAGGGATCTGTGCACCCCCTGTCCCACAGAAACAGGGCTGTAGGTGTCCTCCTGAGCACCCCTTGCATCCAGGTGAGGTCTCCCATCTTCTCTCCATCTTGGACCTGGCTGCTCAGGTGTTTCCAGTGCAGTGGCACCACTCCAAGCACAGCATTCAAAGGAGAGGGAGAAAGGAGGGAGCTCCTTGTGGATGCTGTGGAATGCTTTGACCTCACAGGCAGCAAGAAGAAGGGGGGCAGATGGCGTGGGCTGTTCTGCCTCCAAAGTTTAGGACCACTTGGAATTGGGGCTGCTGCTGGTGAAACCCTTTCCTGGTGATGCTGCAGGAGGGGAAGATTGGCTCCTTCCTACTGACAGTGAGTTGGCAGGGCAAGTGAAGAGGGCTTGGGATGGACGAGGTTCCCCCCGGCCCCCACTGCCCTCACACTGCGTGGGCAGATCCTCATCCCCTCCTGCTGCCAGGAGGTTTCTTTTCTGATTCAGCTCTTCCAGGGCAGCAGCTGATTGCAGAGGGGTTGTGATCTCACTTGTGCTTTTAATCCCACTGCTGTCAAGCTCCATTAGGAGGTTTGGCATCATCTCCCTACCTCTGGGGCTGGGCTGTGTTTGCCCAGCCTGAAATGAGGACAAGTCCAGGCTATGCTGGAGCGAGCAGGGGCCGGGGAGCCAGGAATGATTTAGGGGCTGGGGAGCCAGGGATGCTTTAGG